CTTAATTGAGAAGCGTGAAAAATGCAGTAATGCAAAAGTAAGCATTTTCACAGAATATGTATAATTTGAATTGGAACAAGTTGATACAAAAAATAATCCAGTTTTAAATCAAATCAAATTGATTAAAAATAATTAAATCAAATCTGATTGATACTACTGTTTGTTAAACCAATCTAAATGTTTGGAGCCAAGTACAACACCTGCCTTGTAGCTGGATTCTACATAAGGATGGTGGCTTATTTCAGATGGGGCTCCCTTGGCTGGACTGCACATCCTGCTTTACTTGCAAGGAGGTGTCCCCCCTGGTAAGTGGAGGATTCCTGAGTGAGAGTAGCATGTGGGAGCCTGACAGAGGCACCCTGTGCTTTTCTTTCTTTCCTTTTTGAGTTACAGCCCCTCTGAGTCAGAAGAATACAAGTTAACTGAGCCGACCCAGAGCACTTGGTGTCATTGCAGCAAATGAGAATAACACCGTCAGAGCCAAAAACATCAGTGATTTAGTGAGAGGCTTTCTGAGCTTTCAAGAAAAAATGCAGTTTTCCTATTGCCAGACTGTATAACTGAATATTGGGATTTCTTTTTTGGGTATGATGAAAATATTTTACTTTTGTTTGTTTGGGGGGTTGGGGGGGTGGGGAGTGGTTGGTGTTTTTTGGTTGGGTTTTTATTTTTTTGTTTGTTTGGTTTGGCTTTTTGGATGTTTGTTGGGTTTTTGTTGTAGTTGTTTGTTTTTTGGTGGGTTTTTTTGTTGGTTGTTTTTTGTTGGTTGGTTGGTTTGTTAGTTGGGGTTTTTTTTGTTTGTAAAGAAGAATATGTTTCAAAATTCATGAATTCTCGTTTTCCATCAGATCTACTCCTAACCAGATCCCAAAAACCTGTAGTTTTAAAGTTCCTAGTACTTCATTTTAAGGAGGAAGTATTAATAAGGGTATGTGCATGCTCATATACAGCAGCAGAGCTGAAGTCTTTGTGTGTTGCTGCACTCAGACTTGAGTCCAAAGTCAAATCCAAATCTCCCTTCAAAATAGACGAGGCTTCCAAACTTGTTTCAAGAGACTTATGGAACCAGAAACAATTGTGTTGGATCAATGAGGAGCAACATACCAGCACTGGATGCTTCAGAGTCATGTCCTGAAGTGTCAAAAGTTTATTTCTTGCCAGGCTAAAGCACTGGCACTTGATTTCTGCAAGACATGTAAAATACACCTCCTTAAAAGGCTCATTATAAACAATTCATTTCATAGACCTAATTTACAAAGAGAAACTATTAGTAAAATGTTTCTCAGAACATCTAAACAAATTTATCTAAAAATGAGCTGTGAAAATTTTATTTGCATGTAGTTTTACATTCAAGGAAATTCAAGATTAGCTTCTATTAAGGGTACCAAAGTCAGCACAAATGGCACAAATCCTTGGAAGGTAAATATGTGCCTTGCTCTGTTTGAAGAAATGTGGCTTCAAAATGGCAAAGTTATAGACTTTTGAAAACATGCATCCTGGTTTGCACAGCAGGTTTTTAACATCAGAAGCAAACACCAGGATGTGATGTTCTGAATATTCAATTTCAGTATATTTGAAAGCTCACACCTACTTGTATTTGAATGTGTGATTACTTTCAGTACTGCATTGTTCTGAATCATTTACAAAAAGAAAAGGGCATTGGAGACCTTACTGTTTATAATTAATCATGTTTCTGCTTTCAGTCAGAGAATGAAAGAATATAGGCATTTTACTCACAGGAGCTACTATTACTCTTGTAGACAAAAACTTTAGATAAAGCTTCCTGCAAGAAAGGCTGTGATCTAGGAAATATGCTGATTCAAACCATTATGTGGAGAAAATATACTCCCATCTCTGTGACCACATTATATTAATTTCTTAATTAATAGAAAACTTTGCATGCTTTGGAAGATCTCTTGCAGTGCTGTCCCTGATGCTCCTTTCTGGACAAAACTGGAATTGTGTTTTCCTCCTCACTTTCTCAGTGACACCTGGTGATTTATGCTCTCTAGGAAATAAATAATATGCCTTGGGATAACAGAAAAACAAAACTGTGTAACAAAAAACAATTCTGCACCCTCCTAGCAGAATACTGAGCACAGCTAAAGGGCATCAGATACGGTCACAATCAATAACATGCTCAGAACTGAATGCATCTTTCAAGCTTTGCCTTGAAACTTCTGTTGGTTACTGGAATCATTCACCATCTTTTTGCCTAGACCATAGTTTTGGACTGAATTTTGGAATGAATAAGAAAGTACATTTCTGCCAGTTGGCATGGGGAGTGAGGTTCATGGCTAGCTCAGCTCTGAGTTCACCAGCCCAGACTCATGATGAAGTGACAGAGAATAGCCGAGATAGGGAGAAGTTGAAATGCTTAAAGTAGGTGGTTAAAAATAAGCAAAATGCTGTCAGAGTTAGCTACTGTTTTATGTGTGTTTCCTGTACCAGAGTAACACTTACAGTTAATACCCCCATGCGTACTGCTTGTTAAGGACACAGTATGAAAAAGCAATTGGAGGAATAATGCAAAAGAAGTTAGTGATAGGATAGCATTTGAAGTTTTTGTTACTCAAGAAGAGCCATATATCCCTGAAGTAAGAATGTCCCACAGCCTGAAATTATCATAAGCCATTCATGGGTTTTGCTGGTTTTGATATTCAGTACAGTATTAGCTAAGTAAAGGAAATATTTATTTATTATTTTGTTCTATTTTATTTCTTGAAATAATGGTTATTTAGTCAAATATGTATCATTGAGGTATCAAAAAATCAGAAATTAAATTAAACAAAACTAGTCTTTCAGATTTCCCCTTTGACTTTCATCTGTCTTTTTAGGAGTAAATATTCAGCATTTCTTTTTATGGTGTACTGTAATAATAAAAGCTTACTACTCCTTGTTTTACTGCAGTTCTGTACTCATACCTGAAAACTGGTATTCTGTAATAATCCTGATATCATTTTCTTAAAAGGCTTATCTGCAGGTATTAGATATCATGAGATATTAAATCCCATTTTCAAAGCCTCGAAGATCTAGAGAAAATAAACTTTTTAAATGGCTCATACTTGAGAATACAGCATTTCTAACCTGTAGGGTAACAAAACCATGAAATGTGCATCCAAAAACTATTTTAAATGTATTACTTTATCCTTGCCTCAAATTTCTTCTAATTAATTTTCTTTCAATAAAAGTCATGCAGAACAGGGAGAGGCTGAAAACAGATTCTACCCCTCCAGTCTTCTGGGCAGATTTCCCACTGATCTACCAGAAGTGTAATTTTTAATATTATTTTTAAAATAAGAATTTTGCTTAGAGTTAGCTTTGTCCTGAAAATGCACACCTCTGCATACCAGGGTTGCTATAGTTCTTTCCCAGCATTACAAACAATCTCCTGTTTTTCTGGAGGACTGAGAGTATTTTGTCACAAAACCAAGTGCTTCATCAGAGCTCAGGTATGGAAGTGGGTTTTGTTTCACAGGGAAGAACACATAGGGCAGGGTAAATATTAAATAGCTCAGCTTTCTAAAATGAAGCCTCACTGTGACTTTCTCCTTGAGATCATTAAAACACGTGAGAGACCCATCATAAAAGACGTGAGAGACACTGAGGCTGCTCTCTCTTGAGGAGCCAGCTGTATTCCTAAAGGCTTCAAGGAAGCTTAAGCAAGAAGTTTGCAAGGAGGTCCATCAGCTCCCTAAACAAGATTGGAGTTCTACAAGGAGAGGACTTGCTTTAACAACAACAAATACAAGCTACCACTCTGATCCCTCCAGCTCACATTCTTAAACAAGATTCATTACATTTCAGTTTTATTGCTCTGGTAGCTGGAAAAAGACTTTGAAATGGGAAAACAGTGATCTGGTCTTAAGGCAACTGGGATTTTCTTTATGTTGATCTTCTTCTCTGTCCCTAAGGCCTTTTGTTCCAAAATGTATTCATTCATGTAACACAGAGCATGAAATGAAGTAGATTTATTACCTTCCTTTACCAAAATTTGTTGTTATACCTGGGCAAATAAATCTGAAATGGAATCAACTTTTCAGGTACCTACTGCATTTATTATTTTCTTTTTTTTGAACATGATTAACATGGGAGCACTAGTGTCAGTTATTTTTGATGATTTTTAATATTTGGGACATTTTTTCCCATTGTTTTGGTAATCGACAATTGTGAATAACACTCTGCCATCATTTTTGCAAATGGAGAAATAAAAACAAGCACTTGTAAATCAGAAGCTAGTATAATAACATCTTTTAAAATTTTTCATAAATCTGTTAAATAGTGGAGCTACTTGCTCTTTTAGATAAAGTTCCGAATACTTGAATATATCTTAATAAAATATTAAATTAAACATAGTAAAAATTCATATAAAAAAGGTGCCTTTCATGTTGAAAATATTTCTTTTACAGGTTTTTGTAGTGTAAGTAAAAAAAAAAAATTGACACTGTGACTACTGTAAACTGAGTTTACTCAAAAGAAATTTCATATTTTAGTCAGGAGATAAATATTGTCTGTATAATACTGTCTAACACTGGACATTTAATGACCTCTTGAAATTCCTATTCACTCAATTTGATGAAGCATTGCATTGGACCCAGAAATGCTATAGCAAAAAAAGATCCAACGTAAAAAAATCTTTGGTTTAATTACAGTTTTTTATCATATTGGAATTGCTGTAGAAATATGAAATTTTCTTTATAAAATATAATGTTTATATTATGTATCTGAAAATAGATAACTTTTAACTCCCCCTATTCTGCTAACTGGTCCAGCAAGCAAGTGTGACTTGTCACTAACACTCTCTGCTTTTCATTATTATTATTATTTATTATTTTCATTATTATTACTGTGTGACACCATCCCTTGTGCATGAAATGTATATTTACATGTAATTTACAATGAATAAATAAATGGTCATTAGTGACTTTGAGTAGCAATTTTTAATCTCAATAATCTTTAATTTTTTATATATATGATGGCAAATTCATTGAGGTTTTTGTTTTCCTTTTCTGTGTGAATTCAGTAGCTTGAATTATTTGCTTGCCTCTTCAAGGAAACAAATCTAGCAAAAAAAACCAACAAAACAAAACAACAACAACAAAGAAGTTATTTTATTTCTAATGAGAGTTATTTGATCTCTAGAATTCCTGAGTGTTTTCAGGACCAGCTGTGAGCCAAGGCTCCGGAGCTGAGCTTCAGAAGATTTCAGGAATCATTCTTAGTGCAGGGTCCACTTTCAATTTCTAGAATACTGGTGTGGGTGGCTCATTCTAAAACACTTCCAGAGCTCTGTGTCCCACTAGAGTGAGACCCAAGCAATGGCTGGGACTGTACAGAAACAGGAGCAGGGCCATGTGCTTGGTGGGATGCTCTGCTGCACATTTTGGAAAGCAGCTGATTCAGCGCTCTGGGGGATGTTTTTTTCTGTCCCAACTTGTTAAAAGTTACAGCAAACTGAACTCCTGAAACAGCAAATTAAATCAGACAGAACAAAACCATCAGAACCAGTGCAGCCCGGTGACATCTTTGGAAACAATCTGCGAAACCAGCAGTCTGGTATATGTAAAATATTGCTTAAGAACGGATGTGACATCCTTTGGCCAATACGCTGTGCCTACATCTTTGGGACTTGGGTGATTTGCTTATGTGGAGCCCGGTAGAAATAACTCCTGATACGAAGGACAACAGCAAGGGAAAGTGCGGCTTAGCTTTCATCTGGAACTCCTGTCTGTCCTCAGGACTTTCCCAGCTGTATTTGCCAAGAGGCACCTCATGCTCGATGCCTCGAGAGTTAAATACATACAGAACTAGTTCTCTGGCCACATGTGAATCTGCTCATGTGCACTCCTCTCTTTGGCTGAACGGCATTTAAAGAGCAAATGTTCCCAATCCCTGCTTAACCGGAATACTTGTCCCTTGGAATCCGAATTTACAAATTTTCAAAGGATCATCGAAATCCTCCCACGCTTAGCAAAATTATTTTGGTGTCTGCAGTAACAGTGCACAGTTACGAGAAACTCCTCTGCTTTTTTCGTAAAAAAATAAAAAAATAAAAAAATGAAAAAAAATAAGGTGGGGAAGAGCAGGGTTCCTGGGAAACACGGAGTTAACATAAGCCGGTTTTGTTGCCAGGAGTAGGAAATAGCTCACTCCTGCAGTCAATTTGCCTAATTGATTAGAAGCCTGATTGCAGCGCCGAAGGAGGGGGTACCCGGGGGGGATGCGCTCGCACAGCGCCGGGGACTTTGCGCGGCGGCTTCACAGAAACGAGGGTTCCTCCTCCGGGAAATCATTTTCCACCATCCCTTCATTCTCTGGATCGGCTCCCCGCCCATCTCCAGCGGGAGAAACCTCCTCCTGCCCATCCGAGCGCTGCCTCCCGCAGTCGGTCAGGGTTTGCTGCCGGGGCGCTCCCCGCTCCATCGCTGCTCCGAGGGAGGACCAGAAATGACAGCGGTCCCGAGGGCTGGAGTGGTTCTCTAATCCCCTCTCTCGGGATGCTGCCCTGGCACTTCACAGTACAGTAACCCAGCCCCTCGTCTGGCCTTTTTCAGCTTGGCTTCATTACTATTACCATGATAAAGACCAGCTTTCTTTTTCGACTTCCCTTTTCAAGTCTCTACTTGCTCTTGACTTTTCTGAATTTCTCTTTGAAACCTTGACACTTTGGTTGCTCTCCCAGACAGATCTAATTACAAGAGTTCAAATAAACCTTGGGGCTTTCTGTTGGGCTGGGAGGTGGGGGAGTGAGGAGAAAGCATGGATAACAGAGAGATGCTGTGAAGATTTGCTGGGAGAACTCCCCTCCTCCCATGGCTCTTCAGGTCTTCTCTGCAATTCTGAGGGCCCAGAGAGCTGCAGCTGTGGGACAAAATCCAACATCCAGGTTTAGCATAAAACAGGAATACTAAAAGGTGAGCCTAGCAGGATAAACAGGAATTGGAGGCTACCAACTGTTTCAGTGGGCAATACTCTGACTTCTTCCAATGAGACTTCACCATTCCTACCTTGAGAACAAATGTGATAACAGTCTAAGTTTTAAAAAGAAGAAAAACCCATGTGAAGGCTCATTAAAGGCTAATCACACTGTGAAACAGCATGGTGGCTTACAGTCTGCTACAGCACTCATTTGGTGCTGATGTGAATGAAAATGCCTTTTAATATTAAATATTAATCCTGTATCTCCAGGATTCACTGGAACTCCTGGACAGTTCCCAAACCCCAAACTAACCCACTCTCCTTAACTTGTCTGACTTACTGACCCCCATGTTGCTAGGGTTGCAAGGTACCAAAAGAATAATGTATGTATTTCTGGAGCCCTTTATGAAAAGCTCTCTCTCTGATCCAGACATGGCAGAACTCAGGTCTACTTTCCTGAGAGAAGCACGACTTCAGTCATGGTTCACCTGGGGGTGCTTTACAGAAATTCTCCTTTATGTCAGTACAAAAAAGGCAGTCAGCCAGGGAGGACAACACAGCCATCATCAAAACTCAGTGTAAAAAGGAGAGCTAGGACAGGGGTTATACTTTTACCCTGCTGACATTCGTAAATCACCTGGAACAAAGACACATGGGAAAACTGAGCCTAGACTCATCAGAATAATTATTTCTGTTATCACAAATTCAATGTTTAGTTCTGTCACTAGAGGTGCTAATACATTACTAGGAAGTCAGGCTGTATTTCTATCTGGAAGGTAGAAGTTGTTTCTCCTATTACTTCCCAACTCCTTTTCTTTTCCAGGCTGTAAGTCCTGTAATCCACACACTTCATCAGTGAGGCTCCTGGTTTAGTATTCTGAGGACCACTATTAGAAGCACTAGACACAGCTTTAATCCTTTTGACAAACTCTATTTGTATTCCTCCTGTATTAATCTTAGACTCCGTAATACATCATGCAGTGACAGAGTAGTGGATAATTTTATTAAACCTGTGGATGACACCAGGTGGGAAGAGACTGCCAGGAAGCTGGGTTTAGAATAAGAAATTGTTTGGACAAATTGAGAGCACGGTCTGAAGCAGCAGCAGCAGCAGCAGCAGCAGGCTATCCAGCACAGACAAATGCAAGGCAGTGCACACAGGCAACAATAATGCACTAGACGAAGCCAGGCTGCCCAGCAGCTGCTTAGAGCGTGAGATGAAAGCTGAGTAACCACCAAGCCTTGCAAGCTTTGCAAACCCAAGTGCTGCAAGAGGAACTAGAAGCATAAATCCAGGCTGGAAATCACAAAAGATAATAATTCAGTCATTATGCTGTGTTACATCTTCAAGGCTGTACCACATCCAGATGTGTGTGAGCTGCTTCAAGAGGGACACTGAACAGCTGAAGACAGCAATGAAGGTCAACAGAAGTTCAGAAAATGCAAGTAATTAAAATGGTGATAGCTTAAAAAAAGAAAAAAAAAAAAAAAAGGCTGAAGAAACTATCATCTGCAAACCTGAGCAAAGGAATTGATAGGGTTTTTTCTTATTTATTTAGTTACTGGGGAAAAATAATTAAAAAATAATTAAAAAAAAAAGAGGAATGGCTCTAGTTGCAGGAAGAAGGTTAAAGTTCCAGGTTAAGAAATACACATTTTACAGGTAAGGAGATGGGGAATCTGGACCAAGTTTGACAGGGGAAGCAGGCCCCTGAGAAAAAAGTTATATAAATATCTATTAATGATGAATGGGTATTATCTGAGGCTGCACTGGAACACCAATGGTTTAGATTATTTTTTCTTTAAAAGAAATGAACCTTCCAGATCTATGGTTCCAATAACACAATAAACCTAAAACTTTTGCAGTTAATGGAATTTTCCAAGATCCAATCCCTTAAAAAAAAAATGTACAGGTTCTGACAAGAATCTCATAAACATAAACCAAAATATTTATGAGCTATGCTACTGATTCACCTGTATTTTAACATCCTCTACAAAAAGCTGTTATCTGTTCATATTTTATTGTAATATATTGGGAAAAAAATTTGTCTTGTTCTTAGCTAAGCAGAGTGCAAAAAGCCATAAACTCTAGAGAGACTTTTTAAAGGCCATTAGTCTACAGAAATTGCTTCTGAAAACACCATGAAGTCTATCAACAGTACTTGATCTTAAAATATGAAATTGACACTCCTAAACTGGGAGTGATTTCAGCTGAAGAGAACCATGCTCCCTAGTATGCTTTTCTGTTAATTCTTATGCCCAGAGATGGGGAAAAAAAACCGTCAAGGAATGACAGACTGATTTATTATACTAGAGTGTATACTAGATTACCAAAAATAGATGATGTATAAATAAATAAAATAATATCTTAACCTAATTTACATAAATGTTTTTCTTTACCTGTGACATATCAAATTATGTATTTCAACTACAGTTTATAAACATGAATCTAAGCATTCTTTTTAATTTTCTGCTTGAAAGTATTGCATAAAAAATCACATGATAATACTCCATGCTACAATTTTTTTTAAATTATGCAAATTTCCTGTGTATAAAACAATTCAGTTTGGTATCCCTTTTTTCTCTTTTTTAAAGTTTTTAAAACATACTGACACACTGGACCACATTCAACTCTTGTATAAAGCTAAATTTCTACCTGAATTTGGTGGATTTATAGTAATATCCAGTGTTACTTTTTCTTTTCTTTCAAGCAGAGAATAGACTCAAGACTACTGCAGTTACAAAGCACAATGAAGTTTTATGTCATTGATATTACATCTTTGAACTTTACTGTGAGATCACTCTGCACTTTACAGCAGGACAGTAGATAATTCTGTTGATTTTTTAACCCTGTTCAGTCTGAAGGATTTTTTGTACCCCCAGTAAATTCCCAAATTAATTTTCTGAGGCTTGAGCAATACTCACTGAGCTTGTTCATGATTTGACTGTGTCATCCTTCCATCACCCCACAGAAATTCTCTACCTGGTAGACAGCTCATTCAGTTCAGAATTATTAAAGTTTTATCTTTGGATCTCACCCTACCATAGATTATAAATTTCCAAACAGTTACTCCTAAGCATTGTAAATTAAATGCATATAGTCCCTATATGGATGACTACAGCAGTTTGTATTTTCTCCCTGAACACACTTTAACATGCACAGACAGGAGCAGGGACATGCTAGTTCAAAGGGAATTTTTGGCCTCTTGGGGGCACAGGAAAGTTTGGTTCCTTCAGCAACTGCAATTCCTTTACAGGATCCCTCCAATTTGGCTTTCAGCTACAGTAGCTCAAATCAAAAGCAACCTCTTGGTGCTAGCATGGATAGCAAGCAAAAGTAACACTATATACACAAAATAAAAAATTTCAACCTGTGTGTCCTGGAGGTGTGTCCTGGTTGCTATGGGAGTGGTAATCATCAATTTCCTGGCTAGCATGGGATCCAAGTACCCTTCAACATAGCTTTAATGTTGTTTTTCACACTTGTAAAGGTACAGATTTTAGCTGTAGTTCAGGCATTCCCAAGTGAAATAAGCTCTTTTCCCTGACATTGGGCTAGGATGTTTAACTTAACACAGAACAAAACAAACAAACCCCAAACGACCAAAAAAAGGGTGAAAAAAGTTCAATAAAATAATAGTCACATTGTGATGAAACCCTTACAGTATTACCTTCAACATTTCCAACAACCCCCTGCCAGTACCCATTTAAACCGCTGGCTCAGTGTACCTGAGACAGCTAATTAAAAAAGGAAGTGGTCAAAGTCATGCTTTTTTTTTTTCCTCTTTTTTTCTTTTTTTCTTTTTTTTTTTTTTTTTTTTTTTTTTTTTTTTGTAAACTTCAAAGGTGATCCCTCTCCTTCCTCCTCTTTACATTTTACTGTCTGGCTTTCTGCCCATCCTGCAGCTGTTGGCTGAGCCTGTCTTTCATGGCGTCAAACCTGCCTCCTCACGGTCCATAAAGTTACAGCAGAGATGGGGATACGCAGGTGTGGAAAAGCCAGAAGTGCAAGATGGGCCCGTTAATGATTTTTCTGGCACCCCATGCTGAGCTGCTGAAAAAAGGAGAGCAGCTCGCAGAAGGGAAGGGACTCTTTGTTTGCTGAGGTATTTGAGATTGTATTACTTCTCCCACAGCAAAGGTGTTGGGTTTTCACTTTAAGGGCTGTTTACAGAAATGATTCACCTTTTATACAGCTTTTAAAAAATGCTTTGAGGCTTTAATTGGACTCAGGATTTACATCACACCAGTATGAAAACTCTTACTTTTCATTTAAGCCCCCATTAAATCATTCGGTGATCTTACTCAGTGATAAGCAGCCGCCTCCCATTGTGTGGACTTCAGAGAGGAAAACAAAAATCAATCACCAGGGATTCATTTATGTCATAAACTTTCATCTGGAAATTTCTGCACCCATTTACATTTGGGCAGTGAAGGCAGAGGGGACCATCTGCTGAGAGAGAAAAAGGACAAAACGGGAAAAAAACACAAATATTTTTTGTTGTTCTTGAAATAACTGAATAACTTATTAAACTATACCTAAAACTCTTCTCTTTTAAAAGTCACCTAAAAGTCTGCTTTATTTTAAATGGTCCTCGAGCTGTGAACTGGGCCTAAAGAGCAACTTTTAGCACCTCCAGCTCAAGATTTTTTAGAAATAGGTGCTTAAAACTAATAGTCTACAGGAACCATTTCCCAAAACACACAAGTGACACATGATATTCTCCACCACTCAGAATTAATGGGACTGGAATTTTCAGATCATCTGAACACCAAAGCACAGCCTAGATTTCACAAAATATTTAGTGCCCAACTTCAACTAGTTTTCCTATCTCCTTCTAGGAGAGAGGGCCTGAACAGCTGCTTGTGCACTTTAAATCTGTCCCTGAGCCCCTAATTAGGTGTCTGATGCCAGCACTTCTGCAACCTCTAGGTCCTAGATTCCCTACCACCCCAATCTTTAGGCATTTATTTTTTAACCTTGGGCCTTTACACCAATGTTTTAAAGCTGGGCAGCATTTTGGTGCTAAAAAAAAGAGTGGGCAAATAAGGACCGACAGAAGCAGCAAGCGAGGAACATTTTGCAAGGGGATGGGAGGTTTAAAAGGAGTTAGAAAAGTGTCAGCTGCACCGTCATGCTCATACAGCAAAGGTTTAGAGAGGGAGGGATGTGTCTACACAAAGCTACTGGGCATTGCCCAAATCTCAAAGGTGCAAGTTCAGTTCTGCAGCTGCTTTTCCATCTAAATCTATGCCATGGTTTAACCCCAGCCAGCAGCCAAGCCCCACCAGCCATTCACTCCCTCACCAGCAGGATCAGGGAGAGAATCAGAAGGGTAAAAGAAAACTCATGGGTTGAGACAAAGGCAGCTTAATAAAGAGAAAGCCACAGAAACAAGAGAAGCAAAACAATAAATAAATTAATTTCCCAGAGGAAAAGTGTTCAGCCATCTCCAGGACAGCAGGCCCCATCACATGCAATGGCTACTTGGGAAGACAAAGGCTATCAGTCCAAATATTCCCCCATGTCCTTCTCACTCTACTTTATACACTGAGCATGATGTTGTGTGGCCTGGAATGTCTCCTTGCTCAGCTGGGGTCACCTGTCCTGGCTGTGCTTCCTTCCAGCCTCCCATCAACCCCCCAACTTCCTCATCAGTGTGGCCATACCAAAAGCAGAAAAGGCCTTGGCTCTGTGCAAGCCTTCCTCAGCAATAAAAGAAACATCTCAACATTATTAACCTTGTGTTCAGCACAAATCCAGAACACAGCCCCATACCAGAGACTGTGAAGAAAGTTGATTCTACCCCAGACAAAACCAGCACAGCCTATATGATGGATGTGCCCCCTCTGACAAACAGCCATAGATGAATTTCAAGCTCCTGACTAGCTCACATAATTTTTTCCCCTAATACTTTTATTCTCAATAGCAACTATTTCAGATGCAGCAATTCCTAGAAACTCAAAGCATGACTGGGAGCAGTCACAAGCCTGAAGTCAAGCAGTGCCAATTGTAAAAGAGCTGAATCCAGGTGCACGTTGTTTCTGTGACTGCTTCAGCGGTTGGTTGTGCCAGCTGGGGCACTTGTGAAGTTCTGAGGTAGCTGGACATCTCTTCAAGAGAGACCAGTGGGAAGCAGAATGGACCTTATTGTCTGCAACAGTGAAAAATGCAGTGTGGTCTTCTCCATGCCTGAGGTCAGAGATGGCATGACATGGCTTTGCTGACACACAAATGAATCGAGCACTCTTTCTAAAGGTATCAGGGAGTGGTATGCATGGATTTCTTGCTGCCCCTAAATCCAGTTCTGTTATCAGAATCCTAAGGGAACTTGGTACACATAAGATGCTGTCTCTCCTATTTTCCAGTAACTGCTGTGGAAACAGTGCCTGTTCCTTCAGCATGGAAATATAACACAAACTGCCCAACCCAGGACTGGTCTGTGACCTAAATAAACAACCAAAGTCCAGAAACCTAACTCAGGAACACCACTGTCAGAGTATTCTTGTAGGAAAGGAAATATGGAAAGAGACATAGAGAAGGTAACCACTCTCTATATTTTAACTAGAAACTTATTTCCCAGCTGTCAGAAGGAAGAGTAAGGTGAGCTCATGAATAATTGTTTTTGCAGGTTCCCTTGACCGCCAGACTGATCTTTGTCTATCCATCCTGCAGCAGTTTGCAATAACCTCCCCACTGTGTCAGCAGATAGATTTTTACAGCAAAGCACAAGAAACAAAATGGTTTCTAAACCCAAATGATCTCGATAGCCTTTGTGCTGCACTCACAAGTCATCTTGTAACATGAACTGGCCTTTCTCCTTACATTTGTGATGCCACAAAATGCCTTCCCAGCTGTATGTATCATAGTTCCTGACAACTTCCCTGCCATCAGCTTTTCAGGAAAGAAGCTCTAACCTTAGAGCAGCTCTGGAGGGTCGTGAGCCAGTGCTCCCATAAGAAAATAATTTTTTTTAAAAAGCATATTAGAAACTGAAAAGCTGAGGGAGATTGGGCATGGGGGAGAGATGTTGCAGAATACTGTGGTAAATTATCTGCTGTGCCACAGGACTCCTCTATAGCCACCTGCATGCTGTACAGTCTTTTTGCACCACAACTCTTTTCTCTGGTGATGGAAGCAGTACAATAACAATAACTTTGTAGAAATGGCTACCAAGTGCAGTTCTGGTAAGGCAAATTGAAAAACCACAGCTTTAATTTCAGACACTCAGTAATGATAGAGCAAAATTCATCTGAGAAGAGCCAGCAAGGGCTGGGGTTTTCACACTTACCATAGGAAAAATTTGCTCAGTTTCTTTTTGGGGCTTTGTGTGTTTATGAGAATGAGGCTGCCCTCGGTAGGGTGCTGATCTGAGCAGTCTGGCTGGGTGCTGTGGGAAGAAGAAAGAAAACAAAGCCAGAAGCATGCATTTTCTTAATGGGATATTCAACTCATGATAGTTTATTTGCCCCTTGATGTGCCATCCCAAAATTCATCTTCCCCTGGAAGTAAGTAACTGACATAAAATGCAGGAATGTTTTAGAGATTATATTTTCCTTATTGAAGCCAATCTCCATTACTTTGGAAGAAAAAAGACTTCTGAGAGGACCCCACTATGTTTTACCATTTATGCTTCAGTCTCTTTTCATCCTATGTATTTTCTTTCCATAGAGCTGTATTCTGCACTAATTTACCTTCAATGGAAGTAGAGAATAAATGATTCAGTGCTGGCAAAACAGATCCAGTTTTACAAGGGCATATCTGAAGTAGCCCTTCCATGTTATGTCTCAGCCAAAACAAGTGGAATTTACCAGCTACAGGAGGTCCTGTCCCCTCCTCCTAATATTTGTACAGCTATGTAATCAGCCATATCATGAAAGCATCTCTAAACTAACCTGGAGAAAAATTAGGGAGTGGAATGGGGAGATGATTTTCCTCCAGATCAGAGCCAAGATCTGCCCCCCAGCACAAGGGATGTGAGATCCAACAGGAACACAAGCAGGGAAGAGCCAGAGTTGACCACTTTACACAGCTCACGTCAATCTAAAATTATTGTGAAACTAAAGATGTGGCAGTTCACAATTGAGAATAAAGACACCAAAAAAACTCAAAAACAACCCCAACAAAACAAAACAAAAAAAAAACCACCCACACCCATATTTTTAATTATTTTTGTTTGAGCTCTGTGAGCTGCCTCACTCTAGTTTCAGAGAAACTAGCAGGAGACCAAGGACAGGAAAGGGAGGGGAGCTGACTTAGCAGCAATAGCTGTTATGCCACCTTAGTTGTAGCACCAACCCATCATTTAGGGCTTCTGTGGCAAGCTGATCATTAGCAACAGTGAAACTTGAAAACTCTTTAAATTATTTTATCTCTTTGTCTTGCTGGCTTGAAAAGCTAGTGGCTCTTTCTGAGATCTGTCATAAAAGGCAGTTTTACATGAAAATACAAAATCTGTCTCAGAGGCCAAGAACTGAAACAGATTTAAAACTTTGCTCAGGCCATCTTACCCATCTTCCAACAGAAAAAGAGGGGATGGAGAGTAACCCAGCAAGTTTTGTGCAAAAGCTGTTCTGATGAATCCATAAACACAGTGATTTTACTTCAAGCTGTTATTGTACTTCCATGAGACCTAGAGAAGTGCAGCTACATGGGTTCACTCTTTGCTCCCACATCTTCCTCCATCTGCCCCAAAGCCCTGGCCATCCAGCAGCTGCTCTGTGCTGCTCCCAGGAGCGTCACACAAGCTGTACTGCACTGGTGTTTCAGAAATGCCTGGGTCTGGCTCCGCTGGAAGCAGCGTTAAGTGTAAGGTATTTACACATTTTCATTTCCAGGCATGAGCCAGAGGTGCAAAGGTTCACAACTGAGGCAGCAAAGGAGACCTCAGCCATGAGGTAGGCTCGACTGGATCCGCTGATGGCAAATTTCACGGAAAAGTTCACGTCAATGCCTTGGTCAATTTCGAGGCTCTTAGATGAAACAGTTTATGACAATGATTCACTGAATAAAAACAATGAATGCCATCAGCAGATTTTCATTATTTGACAGGTTAGATTGGCAATAACAACTGCATCAATGTGATACTCTTGGATTTTGTCATGGATCTGATTTAAGATTTTCCCACAAGATTTTGTACTTGGCAGCCCAGGAAGATTCAGAATGAGTACGCTGAGACAGGCCAAGTCCAACTGAAAAAGATCCTGAGCAACATGATAAAGATTTGAAGCAGAAGTTGCATGAGAAGCCTTCAGAAATCCCTTGCAACTACTCTTTTCAAAGCTTTTACATGCTTACAGCAATGGGTTTGATTCAGCCACTTTAACAGAGGCACGTTCCTTCACTTGAGTACTTAACCAAGAGCACTTACAAATGGTAACAGCCATGGTCATTATCAAAACTGAACACCTCTCTGGACCATCTGCTTTGGCCAAATTCCAGTCACTGCCCTGTGTGACAACTGGGTGAAATACAGTGGACCCTTGAACAGGAGATAGGGTCAATAATCAGTTCAGCCCTCCTAGACTTAAAATGTAATAATATTTTTATGTATATGTAAATGTATAATATTTTGTAATAATAAATACAGGACTATATGAAGAGATGTCAGAGAGAAAACACCCTTTGAAGCTTAGTAAGCATTCTTTAAACTACAAGATTATTAGCCTGGAGCTTGTGTACTTCAGAGACCATCTCCTTTTTGCAGCTGGTCTAATTTAAGAAGCCTACAAACAATCTTGTCTGTGTCTTTCTGACCACACAATTCAACACAAACTGCTACTGAGAGGGAAAGTAACTGCAAACATCCCTGTTACAGCAGGAAGATTAGGCAGGAGGCCAGCTGAGCAAAGAGAGAAGGCAGCAGAGCAGCCTCCTGGACCTGGTGCCAGAGGTTAGCTGTATGTGGAACTTTGTAAACAACAAACTCCTTGTAGCTCTCCTCATGCAGAAACCCTGCAAACAAGTTAAAGCAAGGAAAGGGATTTATTTCCAGCAACCTCCACAAGTGTGTGCATCCCATAGTTCTTTGTCAGATGCACATTAATTTTGATAAAATAAAATTTAAGGAAGGGTAAGTCTCAGAGCAAAGGTGTTTGTCATAACTCCCCTAGTCATTGTTAATGTGTTAAACACAGGAGCTCTGCTTTAATTTCAGTCATGGGGAGAAGAAAAAAAAAAAAAAAAAAAAAAAAACTTTTGCCACAATGCTTAACTAGTCTAAAAAAAAAAAAGAAAATTGCTAAGTTCTTGTAAGACAAGTAACTCTTTCATTTCCTGTGTGAAGAAAACAAGGGGGAGAAGAAGAGATCCAACGAGGGAAAGGATCAGGCATGCAGCCTAGCCTCCTGACTCAGTGAGAACTGATTTTTTTGCTGCATGGTCCTGCAAGTCAATGCAGACCCTGACTTCTTGCCTCAGATCTGTTTCAGGAGAGATTTTGCACCCATCAGGCAAAGTGTGCCAGCACTGGAGTGAGCAGTGTTATCGGGTGTTAGCTGCAGCACTCTGATACATCCTTGAGAACTAGCACATCATTAGGGATATTTTCACAATGGGATGTGGGGCTCTTAGGTCCATGTCAGACAAAACTGAGGATGCTTTCAAGCAGGAATTAAAAAGACCATAACAACTTTCAATAACTGTTCATTTAAATGTCCTTTTTTCTATATGACTTTGGCACTATTTTTGAAATTTTCAAACAAGTCTTGATAAAGCAACCCTGTATGATCTTCTGTTAAAAACAAAACAAACAAAAAAAAATACAGAAAACACTCAGAAAACACCCAAACAGTGAAACACACACTACCACCCCTTTCCCCCACATGGAGGTACTTTTTGAAATGTGCTCTGGAAGAGAAATTAACAGGAAATGTATTTCACAGTGCAGAACCCACTATAACAGATACAAAGTATGAGTCTCTGCACTTTGGGCAGCTATTGCCACCTCCCTGAATTAGCCACAGTTTACACCTACTTGCACTGGTATAAATGACAACACAAGAGCAAAGTGATAGAAAACAGGTCTGCAATGTCTAGCCTCAGCCAAACACATCTGCAACCCTCTTACAGGGCAAACTATATATTGCACTACGTCCAACTTGCTGTATACTACAACAACACTAATAAGATCTGTGGAATTATATCTTTAAAATTACACATTTTATACACTGGACTTACAAGAGATTTCACAATGACTGATAACATTGAAACACCCCTGTTCACGTGTTACATTCTAAGCGCATTTTAAAATAGGATTTGTTCTTTGGCACAGTCGATGCAGGACCTGCTTCCCCAGCAGTCACTTTGATGAAAAAAACAGTGAGAGTTCACACTCACCAAGGACTTGTCAGCACAAGGCATCACAGTTCCTGGAGAGCACTTCCAATTCCCACAGGCAGGTATCTGTCTCAGTGACAGAGCTTTGAGGGCACACCACAGACAGCCATGAGATTAAATATTAAACTCCCTGATCACTCTGGCACACAACCTCAGCCATTATTATTTGTAAACTACATGGCTGAACAACCCCAGATTTTCAAAAAGAGAAGTGATACTGTGGTTCACTGTGAGTTTGCTGGAAAGCATGAAGACCTGTGGTACTTCCAGTCTTCCTCACTTATGTTAAAATTGAACAATGAGCTGACACTGATCATTCTGCACATCAATCATCCCTGCTGGGATGTCAAGAGATCACCAATATCATATCTGAGACTACTCCACTCATGAAAGAATTTGTGCTTAAGAACTACAGATGTTTTCCTGATTACCAAGTTTCACTCCAGAGATAACTGGAAATGTTTCATTTGAAATAACTTCCTAAGGGACAGTCTTACAGAACATCTATTCAGATTATTTGCCTGTATCCATTCTCTGCAAATAAGCTTATCCCTTAGCATTGCTAAGTGTGTGAAAGGAAAAGCCCCTGTCAGAAGGGTTGTCTCTCTGTTCACAGCACACCATCTGCTTTTGCACCAGTTTCCACACAGAGTGTTCCCCCTTCCATAACCCACCTGCATAATTAGCAGAAAACCACTACAGTGGGGTCCCCCTCGAGTACTTTTCCTTAGAACACATTAAGGTCCTAGTGAAGGATAAAAATTAATTTCACATCCATGCCTTGCCTCTGATACAGGGAAAAAAAAAACAATTTGCTGCTGAAATACCATTTTGTTTTAGGATGAACTGCCTTAAATGTTCTAAGTAAATGATTTTTTCATTCTTCAACTCCAAACTCTATTTTCAGAGATTTATCTTATTCACCTGCTTCTTATTCCTAGAAGTTATATACATATTATATTTTTACATGGATTCTCTGGCATCTCCCAGTCCATATCCAACTCTGTTTCCTGCTAAAGTTGACAGTAACTTTACACTGAATGTTAACACATACAACTTCAGAAAGCAGAATTTCACATTAATCTCATCTGCTGTGTCTAGAGTTAAAACAGGAGCAGCAGGTGTTCAGGAGGTTCTGGTTTGGGAATTGTGGATGCCAAGGGAAGGTGGACTGGAAAGAGAAGGAAGTTTGTTTATACAACTGATGACAATTTCTTGCCTATCAGGGCCTGCTTTTCTGAAATTTCTTTGCCAAGAAGTGAAAGAATTTTGGTGTGGTCCTCAGAAAATGCAGTTCCTCAAGAGTCCACATCAGGAGGAGCAGTCTCTCTTGTCCCTGCACTGGGACACCATGATAGCCCTGCTTCTCCCAAGGCAGGTGCATCCCAGTCATGGCTGGGAGGAGGAAGGGCCAGGGTCTCTTTCAGGATAAAGTGGTACTGCTGTGGGAAAGAAAGGCTGGCTGAAGCATGAAGTGGACCAGTTTGGGGATTTATTTTGTTATTAGAAACTAATGTGGGAGGGAAAAAAGAAGAGTCATAATCTTCACTTAGTAAGATTCAAGATTCTGTAGTAGTCACCAATCACACACAAAACTCCAGGTCCCAGGTGCTCCTCAGTATTCAAACTTCTGCCTCATCCCTCTGAAGCCTAATGTTCCTATTCACAATCAGCCCCTCTTCCCTGACCCATCCTGGCCCCTTCCTTTGTCCTCTTCCTCTGCTATGCTGAACACTACATGCACCTCACTCAGTTTTGTCCCCTTCTCAGCTCTGTGACAGTCTGCACTAAATTTCTCCCACCTGACTCCTGCCCTTCCTTGCCATTCTTTTTCTCTTTTAAAACTTACCTGTAGGCTTTGGGCCCTACATTTGGATTTCTGTCTATTCTGCAAGGAAGAGATATCCCATTTATTTTAACAGGCAAAAAAGAGTTGTAAGTTTGATCTAGGCTGCAAGGAGCAGACTGTGGGCACTTCTAATGCCCCCCAGTCCTAACAAATCACTCTCTGTTCCATTGCAGCCCAGCACATACATGGATTTCCCATCACCCTGGAATGGCTCCTCATCCTCCACTATCTCTTGTCCTGTCTGTGAAAGCTCTTCAAAGCTCTATCCTAGGTGTCATTTTCTGTATCTTATCCTCAGGGAGCCTCTCCTCTTCACACTGATATAACTATTACCTTTAGGTAAATGGCTCACAAATCTGCATCTCAATACTAAGGTGATCTCCCTTAGTTTAGCACTACACATTTAATAACACTTCTGATCTGCTGCCCTGGAAGGATGACTATTTGTTTAAAACTAAACTTTGCACATATTACTGAGCAGCTTGTCTTTTTCCTTTGATGTTATTTCCTTTTATGTTATTCCTTCTTCTCCACTGCTGTTAGCAGCAAATTTCTTCTCATTTCTAAAACTTCAATTTTCAATACCTACTTTTAATACCCACTTTTTCTACCTACCAGTGCTGGAACATTTCCTGTCTTTCGAATTCTCCTCCACAATAAAATAAATAAATCCAGACAACATCATTATCCATATCTTGGCCATCTTGATCTATTAAAAATATTTTCTTCTTCAGTTCTTCACTGCTTCTGTCTTTTTGGACCAGTGATGAAATGAATGATACAAACACATTACAGTCCCAGGACCTGTTACACTTGGATATAATAAGGCAATCACTTCACAGAAACTTTAATTACATAAAAAATAAAAAGCAGCAGCAGTAACAAAAAATGTTCCTCTATCTCCTCTGTGACTTCCCTCCCTGTACTGCTGAATTTTCAATTCCTGCCCCATTATACCTAAGTTCTATGCTAAAGCTGGGTAAAAGTTTCTCACTGGCTGTCTCCTTGCAGTGCCAAGGATGAACACATCCTCAAAGTGACATTTTAAAAAGCAACTTAGCCTTGTATTGAAAAATCTTCTCTTCAGATTTGTGCCTGACTCCCACTCCTGTTCCCAGATACCAGTTTTCACAAACGTTTTTGGAACCTCAGTACAAATCCACCCAGTGTGCCCAGAAGAAAGGGCAGAAAGAGGGACAGACAACGGAACTAGAAATACACTTAATTTCCTTAGAATAAGAGTGAGGAAAGTATTAATTTACAGATTTACACAATTTACTTATACTTTTAGTTCCTTCAGCTTACTTTCAGTTAAAATAATTACAGTGAAAGAGGCCACAATCATTGTATTGAAAGCTTCATCTTTGTGTTTCGGATCTATTTTTCAAGAGGCATGAGACAAAGCAAGGAGCGAAACGAATGCCACTGATGCAGGATACTCTGCCATTTCAGAAAGCCAAGACACACCTGTTTCCTCTCAGCATTCTCACCGATTTCTTCACCTGCCAGACCCACAAACCCTTTCTCAGGGGCTGCTGATGCTCTGCTGACACCAGTAAATCAGAGGTGCCGAGCAGAGATTTCCAGAACAGAAGCTCAGCAGCGTGAAGCAGCTGGTGCCTGGGCCAGGAACCCCTCTTGCCTTCAGGCCAAGGCAAGCTGCTGATCTTGCAGCCACTGCTCTCCACAACAGGACTGTCTGGCACGTTTCAGGCTCCAAGAATGTCGGAGACTTCACCTAAACCAAGATTACAGACTGCACTTCCATGCCTGAGATGGCTTTTATTAAAGCTCCAACTTTCAGCAGTTGAATACACACAGTTCTGCTTAGAGTTCCAAGTAACATCTGAAAAAATAATCATTTTTTCAGCCAAATGTCATTCACTTCCAGAGTTTATTAGATTTAGTGGAGTCTTCCAAGAGAAAAGAAAATATCTCCTTACCTTTCTTGTAATTGTTTTGATAGCTACTGGGGACAAATTTGCAAGAATTGCAGC